GAATCCTGTCGCACTGCAATGAGCGCTACGATCCTGTTCCTCCATGCCATGAGGACTCGTGCCATTAACTGCCGATTGGTTTGCCCGCTAACGAACACAGTTTCGGCCTCGATACGCCGCTGACCTCCAGAGGCCAAGTGCGCAAGATACGGGGCCACGAAATCCGAGGCAGAGCCTGAAAAACGAGAACCAAAACTGAGCGGGATGGCACACGAATACCTCCATGCAAGCAGGACGAGCCTTGACCACACATGTGCAGCAAGACCTCTTATCTGAGACAAGGCTCGCCGCGTCCTATGCAACGCGGCCACTTGCTGGCGAGCATCCCCTGAGAGTCCAGTATCTTTTTGGCTCTGATCTAGCTCGAAAAACTTAACCGTGCCCTGACGTGCATACCCAGAGACCTGAGCGCAGTGCTTGGACGGAGGGACGGCCCAATGTGGCTTGGGGGCATGTTCCATATATTTGGCGAAATCGTCCTGAACAGAAGCATCCGCCAGTTTTGCGCGATCCAGCCGTGGCTTCGAGGAAACGATCCCCTGGAAAGGCCTCAAATCGGGCATGGGCATTCTGAAATCAAATTGCACTAGCGCATGATCTGGTCGGGCAATGGCAAGCTCGACCGCTTTATTGACGTTAGGTTCAAATGCAAACGATCGCAACGACATTGGCACAGAGACGAAATCGATCCGTCTCGTGGCCACAAGCCCCTGCGGTGGAGTCCACGTCTTAGAAGCCTGCGGGCCACCAGAGAACGTCGCAGGGAGCATGAATGCACAATCTTTAAGACACTTGTGAAAACATGCACCATTGTGATTTTCGTTTTCCCTAGCGATGGGGCCAACAGCTTCTGAGGGGACACTGCCAACGGTAGCGTTAGTGTCGAGGAGCAAAAACGTAAACGGGGTAGCCTCAAGGGTTTTAGCCACCACTCCTGAAAACCTAGCCCACCAGGCTTCTATATCTGCTTTGTCGTGCTTTGAATGAGGTGCATGCCCAACAATGAATGACAACGAAACTGAGCCTACAGCAATATTGGCAACCAAAATCGTGGGCTCAGCAAGTGCAACTGTGACCAGATGCCTCTTGATCGTGCTATCCGCCAGGGACGGCACCAAAGGGACCCCTTTCCTCAGCCAAAGCGAGCAACCATGGGACCCCTGTGGGGTGGCTGGCCCATGTAGGACCAGAAAATTCCCGATGTCGGCCCATCCTTGCCGAGGGACCCTAGACTCCGCTGTGCCCACAACCTGCAACTTAGCCGCTTCAAATTGAGCCGCCAGCATGCGAGGACGTCCTGCCACATATAGTCCGACAGGAGCTTTCTTGCCGTTACCTGTGGCTCGCAGACTCAAAATATTAGCAAAAGCCATCCGCACCGATAACCTAGCATGTGGCACGACATCGCGAGACGCAGAAGCGGTGGCGCCGGGCTGAGGGGACCTGGAAAAAGGCAGGTCGTGATCTGGGCCAAGAGGGGAGGATCGAGGAGGGCAGACGTCACGAAAGCTCGGCGCGTCAGTAACTAATATGAAGTCACCCTGGCAAATCGACGGGAATTGTTGCCGCCGTTCGATATCCAGCAATTCGAGCCATGCCCACGATGCGACGAGGGGTCAGCCAACCAACGTTCCCACGGGCAGACCGGAGGGGGCTCCACAATTTTTAGGGCAGCCAGGGCGCACAGGGTATCGGCCATTTCATTGAGGGGGTCATCCAAATGAGCCTTCACATGATGGAAGGATGTAACCGCAACCTGCTGTAACGAAAGAACGAGGGACCGAAGACACCTAGCTACACCTGAGATGTCGGGCAGCCCTCCATATCCGAACGCTGCTCTGACAACCGACAGATTGTCAACGTGAAAACTGGCGTCAGTACACTGTGCCTGGACAGCCCATGCCACAGCCCACAGCATTGCCACGGCCTCTGCGGCCATACTGGCGAAAGCACGAGAAATTGACATGGCATCCAGGTCGAGGGTGCCTGCAAAGAACCCTCCGAAATGCCAGGGCCCCGACGGGTGCAACAGTAGCACGACGAAAGCCCAAGACGGCGGCGCTCCTCCACCCCCTCCAGAACCATCAGAATAGATGAAGGCACGACAAAGGTGGGGATGGTCAGGCGGGAGAGGTGAGAGAGAGGCCAGATAAGCACGCGAACAAGGGAGCAAGAAACGCTCGATGTCCTGCCAGCTCCTTGCAGGTGCCCACGACCAGGGTGCCTTAATCTCATCCACGAGACCTGAGCACATCACAGTAGGTGACCTTATAGTGGTTGGGTTGCCACCCGGATCGCAATCATTGAGATCGTACGGGATCGGGGTGGCAGGTACTGCTATCCCTGGGGATCTTCGGCATCTTCCTCCGCGGGCTCCCCACCCTCTCCTCGTGCTCGCCTGGCTGGCGAACGAGAGCTGTCGCGCCCTCTGCTGGGTGCCGCTGTCGAGCCGCCAGGGCTCCGCGGCGCCACAGCAGGCGCGGCATTGCCAGCAAAAGCAGAAGATTGGGCAGCGGCACTCGCCGTGGGCATCAGAAACTGCGGGGGCGGCACCACTCCGCTTGGCGGCGTCCTGGTGGCCGCAAGCAGCGCTTCGTGCTTCGCGTTCAAGATGTTGAACTGCGAGCCCAGGCTGTTCACGTTGCTGTCGATCCTCTGCTGGAACATGACTAGGTTCTGGGAAATCGACGCGAGCTGGGACTGCACCAGGGCGAGGTCCACCACCTGTCCAGGTTGAAGCCCTGGCTGCGCGGGTGCGTGCTGCATCGGCTGCGTCCTCATCGAGGGAGCCGCGGCCACACCAGCAGGCACACCACCTGGCTCCTCGCTGGCTTCGTCGGTCTCCATGATTCCCGGCTCTCCCAGGGGCTCGGCGCCGACGGGTTCCATGGCCTCGATCTCCATCAGCGCCTGCTGGTGCCGAGAAACCCACTGGTCTGAAAGGTCGCGCTTGGCTCTCAACTCGTCCAGCTCGGCCTCCTTGTTTCGAATCTCTTGCTCCTGAGCCTCCAACTTCGCCTGTGACCTCTGGAGCGCTGACCTTTGCCGATCGCGCTGTTGTTGCCACGGGCGGCAGAGGTGGATGGCAGTCAGCAACACGGCATACCAATCCCGCTCGTCCTCGCTGGCGTCCCCAGCTTCTTCCTTCATACGGATTGTGGCGGCAAGGACTTTCATCTCGGCCCTCCTTCTGCTGATGTAGGTCTTCCGATCGGACTCTGTAGCAGTCTCGCCAGGCAAGGGAGGAAACCGATGATGATAGACTGCCATAGCGGGAAGGGCTGGTAGTATATTGAGGGGCGCGGAGACCGTCGTCGTCCCGTCCTCCTCCTCGTCTGCGAAAGTCACAGAAGGTGATCTCGCCCTCTGTTCCTGCCGCTGCTGGCCTCTCCTCGGCCCACTCGACGAACGTCGTGACTGTGTCTGCGCCGACTGTTGCAAACCTGTGGCTGCTCCCTGAGAATTCCTCACCCACGGGTCTCGGACCATGCCGTATGCCATCGAGGTCTGAGCAGAAGACCACGAACTCGCAGCTTGACCGGCATGCACTTGAGGCGGCTGATACTGTCTGCCACGCTGCGGACCAGGCACACGAGGGGGGGCTTGACCACGTCCACTGGGCATCTGAGGAGACTGATCGGGCATGCACGTGGTACAGAAGGTGGAGGCAAACGAGTTGACGCCACCACATATTTCACACAGCCAACTATCTTGCATCCGAGACTGGGACGAATGATGTCGGCTCAGGCGAGACGCCGCGGCGGCTACGCGGAGCAGCGTGCGGTCGAGTGACCTCTGGTGCCGCTCGCGTCTGTGCCAGCCGCCGTCGGACGGAATTGCGGCGGGCCGCCAGCTGCTGGCGGCTGGCGCGCGAGGCCTGTGAATCTGGCGGGGAAAATGCAAAACTGCCAGAAACAAAACCAGCCACCAGGAAATGTCTCCAGTGGCTTGGACCTTATGATGATGATGATGAGGAGGAGGAGGAGGAGGATGGTGACGATGATTGTGATGATGAGGCTGGTGATTAAGCAGATGAAACTGCTGTTGATGGTTATTTGTTTATTAATGTTGCTGACGAGGACGATAGTGGTGATGCTGGTGTTGAGGATGATAAGGACGATGTTTGTGTGTGTGTTTATTAGGCTCATGGTGTTCCTGCAGTTCCTGATGATGATGCTGATGTTGATGATGTTGATGATGATGATGATGATGATGATGATGATGATGATGATGATGATGATGATGATGGTGATTGCAATGCTGCTATTGCTGCGTTGCTGCTGGTGGTGAAACAAGTGCTGATAATGACGATGATGCTGACGACGACGATGATGATGATGATGATGATGATGATGATGATGATAGTGATGATGCTGATGATGATGATGATGGTGATGATGATGATGCTGATGATGATGATGATGATGATGATGATGATGATGATGATGATGACCATCATGACGATGATGATAATATCGAGGAGGATAATGCGGAATCCTTTTTTTCAGACCTGCGGCCAGCTGTATTTCTCCTTGTTGCACGCCGAGTGGGACACGTCCACCGCGTCGACAAGGAAAATATGTTGTAGCGTTGCACGCCGAGTGGAGCACGTCCACTGCGCCCGCTGGAGCTCTTCTGCCGCGTGGAATGTGATTCCATTGGTCCGCCAAAAGAGGGGTGGAAAAGAGAGGGAGTGCGGGCTTGCTGAGAGGAGAATGCAGGATTCAGGTCGATTGGGGCTCATGGCCTGCATCCGTGGGGACATAGAGGGAGGGTACGATTTTTGATTGGTCATGATTGATAGAAGTACTTCTGCGCTCCGATGCTGTGAACCCTAGACCGTCGCCACATCTTACTAGAATCAAAGCGCGCGCGCGGCGCGCGCGTGGTTCTAGAATACATATGTATGTCTATATATATGTGTGTGTGTGCATGGGGCGGTACTTGCGAACCTCGTCTCTTGGACGAACCCCCTCTTGGACGACCCGATGCCGCCCCAGGTGGTCACGCCGCCCGCGCCCCCGGCGCCGCCGCACGCGGCGCCTCCACAGGCAGCGCCGAGGCCGGGCTGCGCGGCAGGTGCTCCAGCCCCCGCTCTGACCGCGCGCGCACGCGGCCCCTCTCCGCACCACCAGGGAGGAGAGGAGGAGGAGGGGAGGAGGAGGAGGAGACGGAGGAGGGCCGTGGGTAGGCCTGGGGTGCTTCCCTCTCCTCCTCATCGTCATCATGTCCCTCTGCATGTGGATCCGCATGCATACGCGAGCACTGCGATCGACCGATCTCTTGGGCTGTGGACGCAGCAAGACGAGGAGGACTCTTGCTCTGGCACCCCTGCTTAGAGGAGGGCGTGTTGAGACAGCGGCAATTGGCCCTCGGAGGCCCCCCTCGTCGCCGCGGCCAGACGCAGCTCGGAGAGCTGGTGCGCTTCGGGGGTCCGGGGGCTGTTCTTGAGCTGCTGTGACCACAACGCGCCTTCCGCCGACCTGCCTAGGCCGTCCCCAGCGGCGCAGCAGTTTGAGGGGGCGGTGGAGCGTGAGAAGGAGGAGGAGGAGAAGGAGGAGGAGGAGGAGGAGGGGGAGGATGAGGCGGGGGAGCAGGAGGAGGAGGAGCGGGAGGAGGAGGAGGAGAATCATCAGGAGGAGGAGGAGGAGGAGGAGGAGGAGGAGGATTATCAGGAGGAAGAGGAGGAGGTGGAGGAGGAGGGGGGGGGACGTGGTGCCACCGTGCATTTCCATGCCAGCACCGCAGCACTACGGTCGAGCATCTGATGAAGCAACCTCCACCCCGAAAGCTCGGCCAGCGTCTCTTAACCAACTTGCGGAAAAGCCGGCCCGGTTTCTTGAACACGCTCGATACTCCAGGTGTCCTTGATCACGGTTTCGGCTGTAGTACTTTCATCCTCGGAGACTTCTCGACGTTTCTGTTCTTCGTCGCACCCTCTGCGCCGCCTAGCCTGCACGAGGGCGATGATATTGCTCACTTAACTTGATCGCACGCTCTCTGAGATCTTTTTGCAGAGAGCGTTCAGACGCTACGGCCTCGTTGCCGAAGTCCGTTCAACGCAAAAAGGTCGAGGACGACGAGGAATGACGATAAGGAGGAGGCGGAGGAGGAGGAGGAGGAGGAGGTGGAGGAGGAGGAGAGGGGGTGGATCAGGAGGCGAGCGCGCAATCCACCCACTGGCCGTAGAAACCATATATCTTACATACATACATACACACGCATACATACAGACAGACAGACATACAGACATGCAATCATACACTTATACAGACATACATACAAACATGCGTACAAACTTACACACATACCTGCATACAGGCAGACAGACAGACAGACAGACAGGCAGACAGACAGACAGACAGACCAACATACATACATACATACATACATGCATGCATGCATGCATACATGCATGCATACATTCCGATGTACATACACACATACATACATACATGCATGCATGCATGCATACATGCATACATACATGCATACATACACAGACACATATCGAACCGAGACACCCGTTGTGTAGGGACATTTACGTGTGTGTGTGTGTATGTGTGTGTGCGTGTGCGTGCGTGCGTGCGTGCGTGTGCGTGCGCGTGCGTGCGCGTGCGTGCGTGCGTGCGTGTGTGTGTGTGTGTGTGCGTGTGTGTGTGTGTTTGCGTGTGCGTGTGTGTGTGGTGTGTGTGTGTTTGTGTGTGTGTGTGCGTTTGCGTGCGTGCGTGCGTGTGTGTGTGTGTGTGTGCGTGTGTGTGTGTGTGTGTGTGCGTGTGTGTGGTGTGTGTGTGGTGTGTGTGCGTGTGTCTTCTGGCATCCCCATGGCGCCTTCTGAGCCTAGACCCGATACCGCATCATTCGACCATTGTTTCGAAGCGCACACGAGGGAGATGATCAACAGTGTTGCTAGCAAGTCGGCCTGCCCAACTACAAACCTGCGCTGGCTACGACAAGCAGCACTACTTATATTCTTACTGGCCCTGCTCCTACAGCCGTTATTGCGATCACTGGTAGATGCGCTTGTTACAGCACTCCACGAAAACTAACGCAAGTTGTTTTAAACCCTTCACCTTCCCCCCCTCCCGTTTCACTGCCCGGTGTCGCGCGCAACGCGGACGGCGGGTTCCGATTGGGAAATCAAAGTCACCAGTTTCGGCGGACGCGTTGACATTTGAGGGTCCAGGGGCGCCGCGCATCGCGGGGGAGGATTGCGCCAGATTTGGCGGAGGGATGGAGAGGATTTGGGCTAGGATGTCGCGGAGGCGTTACCCTTAACAGCTTGAATCGTTACTTGTCTTATCAGCCCCGATTCTCAAAGTAGGGCGCGCCCACGCCAGTCAGGGCGGGTGCGCTTGGGGCGCTTGGCCGCCATGGGCGGCTGTGGTTCATCTCAGGGTCAGACGGCTGGAAAGCCGGGCAGCAAGACCGAGAGCAAGTACAAGAGCGAGGCCGGCACACATTCTTTCCCCGCGTCTTCCATTTTTCCTCGACCTCGCTATCCACCCGATCTCACCACCGAAGCACATCCTCTTCCTACTGATCATCGTGCTCCTCTCCGTGCTCCGCCTCCCCAAACTCCTTTATCATGTTATTCATGTTTCTCACCTTTTTCAATCCTTCCCTTCAACTCCTCAAAGGCGAAGTCCAAAGGCACCCCTGCCGAGGAAAAGCAGGAGGCTAGGCGGAAGAATGCCGAGTACATCGGCATCTTGACCGCCTTGGAGAGAGTCCCTCTGCTGAAGCGCTTGCCAAAGGACGCAGGGGGGCAGTATTCCTGAGGTTCAGTAACCAGGTCCAAACAAGAGGGCGATGGGACGGACGAGGAGAAGGCGGAGGCGAAGACGGCTAGAGGCAGAGGAGCATGTGGAGGAGGAGGAGGAGGAGGAGAAGGAGGAGGAGGACACCGACGAGGCTTTGAGGCGTGGCCTTCTGGACTTTCAGGGAGGGGGGCCTTCGGTCGCCGGCGCTACCTCAAACGCCGAGACCTTGCTGCAGTTGGAACGTGAGGAAGCAAGCGAAGAACGGGATCACGGGACGCCCTTTCAGCTGCATGTGCGCACGAAGCTCAGTAAGTGCGTGCGTATGCCGGTATTGTTTTCCTTGGGCGCCTGGTTGCATGGTGTTCGCAGTTGGTGCAGCAGCGAGGTCATTCGGATTGCTTCTTGCGCTGAGGCTTAGTTCGCGAGTCTCGCACCCCCGAATTGTGCACCCCTCAGAGACGCTCCAACGAGGTGCCGACCGCAAGTATGTATGTGGACCGTTCCAGAAGGGCCTCGCCGACCAGGGAGCGGGGGGATAGGGCTGGAAATGTCTGCCTAGCGTGTCGCGCCGCTGGTTCTAGCCCAGCACGCTCCGGCGCGACACGCTTTTCACGTCCCGGTCCCCGGGCGTCAATATCCTGAGCCACTCGAAGCTCGGGGGCGGAAAAGAGGGGGGTGATGACTAGGGGGGGGGGATATCATGGCGGGGGCCATGAGATCTCCCCAGATTTCATGGCGCCTCTTCTTATTCCATTACGTTCCTGGCCCCCCCGCTGGGCCGCGCACATGCCGCTGGTCATGATTTGCACCCCCCCCTCTTGGACACCCCCCTCTTGGCCGCTCCCGATGAGCCACTCGAGGCCCCCCTCCCGCAGGGCGGAGCGACACGCTATCTGCTCGCAGGGCATAGCGCAGCGCAGGGGCCGCCGCCGCGACACGCGAAGCAAAAGCCCCCCACCTCAGACCTCGCCCCCTCGGCGGGAGCCGCCGAAGGGTCCGCGGAGGTGGGCTGGAGTACATGGAAGCTGGAAAAAGTGACTGGGGCCAGCCCTTCCACTCTTTCCAGCCCTGGTCAGTTTTCTTTTTTTTCCAGCCCTGGCGACCGCATTCCTACTTTTTCGGGCTCGCTTCACCCACCGCCAGTTATTCCAGCCCTGGCCACTTCCATTTTCACTGATTTTCCAAGTTCCACTTTTTCCAGCTTCCCTGTAGGCCGGGGGCTGCGGAGGCTCGGCGGAAGCGAAAGCAGACCCCCGGAGGGAGGTCAGCATTGGTGCCTCGGAGTTTCTAGAGCGGATCGCACACCGTCGGCGACAGCCTCGCAAGTAGACTGCACACGCAGCTAGGCGCGGGTTAGGAGGGGGTTAGAAGAGAAGGTGCCATAGACAGGGGTGAATGATCTGGAGGGGGGGGGTGAGAGGGGGAGGAGGGATGCTGTAATGGAGGAAAGGGGAGAGGAGGATGGGTGGCCGTCCACCCACCTTTGACAAGAACTCATTGTGGAAACTACCCTCTTCTCTCCCCTTGACTCTGTCCAAGAGATGTTCGGTCCTCTTCGCGAATTGCTTTCTCGCGCACAGGATGTCAAAAGCTGTTTTGTTTCAGGCTTCTTACAATCCGCTCGCTTCCGGGTGCTCCCTCTGCAGCGCGAACCTCCTTTTCGGATCGGAGTTTTGCTCCCGTCGTTCAGATGTCCGCACGGCACTCACACTCAAGCAGTGGCGAAGCGTCCTGGCTCGCCTATAGCCCTACCAAACAATGTTCAAAGAACCTTTTGTGGTTCCCACGAAATGTTCTTAGAACATGTCTGGCGGAATCTGTATTGTTTCATCAAATCGGGCTTATGTTCTAAGAATATTGTATTTGTTCTTAGAACATTTTTAAGTTCTAAGAACACTTCGTGGTAGAACTATAGGACTGCCGGGACGGTCGGTCCCTGCTCAACACACGTTTCGTGGCTCTCTCGCCCCAGCGCGGGCCACTCTTCCGGATCCGAGTCCTTTCTGGTCGTCGCCGCCCCTCCTCTTTGTCCCTTCCTCCGCATTCCCCTGGTCCTCCTGCGTCTCCCGCTCCTTCTGCTCCAGGTCCTGCTTGTGCTGTTCGTCCTCGTGCTCCTCCTTCCTGCTCCTCCTCCTCCTTCTCCTCCTCCTCCTCCCCTCCTCCTCCTCCTCCTCTTTCTTACGCTCATCTTCCTGCTCATCCGCCACACCCCTCTCCAAGGTACGCAGATCCTTTCTCTCCGGTTGCGCATAACACCGTGGGATCCTCTGTGGAGTCTTGGGTCCTTTATGGCACGCGTCGGCGGATAGAGGGAGAACA